GTGTCACACAGAATCAACACTGACAGGAGCTGAGAGCCTTATCACACTTCAGTTTTACTTTCCCACAATGGCTTTATTGAACGCCTGGAACGTCTCTTTGGACATCAACAACAGCTATTTCAAGTCCAACTTCTCAGAATTAGAGGACACACAACCTACGGGGAAGAACTGGGCATCTCTGGTCATTCTGGCCATTATATTTTTCACTGTTGCGGGGAATATACTGGTGATTATGGCGGTGTCCATCGAAAGCAAGCTTCACAACGCCACCAACTACTTCTTGTGCTCTCTGGCCGTAGCAGACATGCTGGTGGGATTCCTGGTTATGCCAGCCTCACTTATCACTATTCTTTACAGTAAGTACTACGCTTCTTTCTTCTTTTTTTAAACAACAAATGCACATAAATAGTCTGAAAATGTTTTTAAAGCATGTAAGCAAACCACACCTGAAACTGAAAGGCTGTATGGACGAGTCTCACAAAAGCTCTCTAAAAATACTGGTTTTTGTTTGTTTTTTACTGTCATGAAAAAAATAATTTTCCTTGAATTTGCTTCATTGTTTTCATGCCAAATATATATTGGTAACACTTTACAATAAGGTCCTGTTAATAAACGTTAATGCATTAACTAACATTAACAATGAGCAATACATTTGTTACAGTATTTATTAATTTGTTAACGTCAGTCCATAAAAATACAGCTGTTCACTGTGAGTTCAATTAAATAATATTAACAGATAAAACTTTTGATTTTATTAATGTATTAAAAAAATTTTTAATTATTAACGTAGATAATTAAATGCTTTAGAAGTATTTTTCATGTATTTATCAAATGTTGACAAATTAAACGGTGTTGTACAATTTTACCAATAATTTCTTTACTTTTTCTTCTTTTTTTGTGTGGTGAAATATAGCCTTTGTGAGATTCACCTGAATTTTACAGTTTGAAGTAATTGTAATATCAGCTTATTATAGATAATATGTATTGTTTGTGAAACAACTTAAGTAATGCCAAGTCATAGCATATAAATTCAGTCAAGACAAAACCATTAGGGTTTTTTTCAGGTATTGTTTTTTAGTTTCCTTTCGAGTTCCTGAGAAACAGGGAACAAAGGGTACAGTCGTAACCGAGACGATTTGGGGCTATTGTGCTTCCATAACGTGTTTTCTTTGAGACTATACTGAAGAAAAAGAAGAAGAAAAACATTCAAAATTCACATTTAAGAGTTTATTCTATCTGATTTATGGAGTGATAAAAAGAGAAATCTTCTCTGTAAAACTTTTAACCTTCAACTGTAATATGTCAACAAAATCTGACCTGACTTTATCCAATCTTCAGATATCTGTTCCAAAAAAGTAGTGCATAATTTGCATATTTAAACATTTCAGAAAACTTGTAATGCAAAACAAGTGTCGTAACGTACTGTGATTAATCATGTACAGTATGGTGATACCTTTTAGTTAACATTTTTACTTTATTCACTCATGATGTCTTGTCTTAACCCTCTGGTGCTCAGAGGGGTTTTTTTCAATGAAAGAAATGTATAATATTTTAGTTTGATTATTTAAATTGTTTTATTTATTTAATGCAAAATATTTTAGGGAACTTTATGGTACTAATATTTACCAGTAGTTATAATCAATTTATTTACTTTTTTGAGTATAGTCCTGAAAATAAAATTTCCAACTTAAACTGTCGTATATCTTGAATGCTTTAGAGCAACAGACGTAAGTTTGATCTCTTTTTAAAGACGACATTTGGCAGATAATTGAAACAAATTATTATAAAAAAGTGAACTTAAAAAAAGTTACAGAATTTTACGTTTATTGTTATGAAAAATGCACAAAAATACTATTTTAAATTTTTATTGCAAGAAAATCAAAGCCATAAGTCTAAACAAGTTCTGTTCCAAATTTGAGGTTGATATCACAAAAAATGAGCTTTCGGTAAGATGTTGTTTGCCTGCAGTACCGATCGCTTCCACTAGAGGAAACTTGTCTCCCATTCATTTCCAATGCGCTTATTTTTGACCAGGAGGAGCAAAAGTGTGACTATTTTTTACAGGACCATTTAATCTTTTCGAATCATGCCGATGATTTTTTTTTCTGTTCACATAGCAAGTGCCAAAACCTTTATAAATTTCCCTACCATTCCGATGAAAAAAAAGAAGTAATTTTTCTATCAAAAATGACCGAAGAGCACCATAAAAAAAGAGCACGCTGAAACATGTGAATGGTTTGTGAAGATACTAGGTTTCTACACGCATCTTCTGAAACGTCCTCCTCCTGTCTGTCTCCAGATCACACCTGGCCTCTGCCGGACCTGCTCTGTCCCATGTGGATCTTCCTCGATGTGCTCTTCTCCACCGCCTCCATCATGCACCTGTGCGCCATATCTCTGGACCGCTACATCGGCATCCGTGACCCGTTCAAATACGGCCGCAGCAACTCACTTTGCAAGGCCATGCTCAAAATAATCAGTGTTTGGACCATTTCTATAGGTGAGAATGAAGCATCCAGTGTTACAGAGTGTCAAAAGATTGCGTTGTGGTTAATGATGGTTTACACTGTACAGAAAACAGTATCAGGAACACATTTCAGCACACAAGCAGATCAACAACATGCTTCTGCAGAAGGGATTCAGTTCAACTTTATTCATTTCCCAAAGGCAATTTGGTTGCAGCATACAAGCATACACATAAGACAGAGTCATACACACACAAACACACACACACACAAAAATCCATCCTAACAAATAATTTACCTTAAAGATACAATGGGCCCTATCTTGCACCCGGCGCAAATGACTTTGTACACTGACGCATGTATCATTCGTATTTTGCACCCGCGCAAAGCGGGCTTTTCCCTCCACAGACGCACGCCGGAAACCTAGGGAATGAACTTGCGCTCCCTGGGCGGGTCGGCGCAAAGAGGAGGCGTGTTTCGACGCAAGCATTCCCTAGTGCTATTTTGCTGTTCTATAAAACAATTGCGCCACTGACCAGAAAAAACCTAGTCTAAAGTCAGTGGCGCGTTACGCGTTGTTCATAATGCTATTTTAAGCGCGCATGCTGGGCCATAATGTAGCGGGTGCACAACGCGCATACACTTTGATTCTCTCATCAACACAGATGCAGCAGTTTTTATTTTTGCAAATCATACATTATAACAAGGAAAAATATTAACGCATGAGGGAAATCATTGTGGTGTCCATGAAGATGTAAAAAAATGTAGGCCTGAATCTAGCTTACACATTTACCCACATTTTTCAGGCTAATTGTAGTAATGACGGATCAGACCTGTTTGCCCAATAGTGGTAAGACACATATGTATATAAGGACATCTGACAAATTAGTTTGTCTGTCAAGAACCAGGAAAAAAAAAACTCCCATCCCCATACAACGTCACTTCTCTGTCTTTCACGGTCCTGACAAGAACGTTGCTCTCCTCGGCTGTGAACCGCTCCTGGCGCGCGCCTGGTAAATCCGCCGTTATAATAGCAATCCGCCATGCAACATGCGCACCTGGTCTTAAAGGGAATGTGAGATGACGCTCTGATTGGTTATTTCACGTTACGCCCAAACCACACCTATGAATAATGAAGCTACTTCAGACCAACCCCTTTTAAACTTGCGTCGGGCGCAAGAGTCATTTCTCCCGCCGGTTAAATAGCAACAGCGCCCAAGACCCGCCCACAAAGTTACTTGCGCTTCGCGCTTGATACTTGCGTTTCAGATCGTTAAAATAGGGCCCAATATGTCATTTGTTTCGCCGCTAGGGGTTAGGTTGATGACGCAACATTCCAGAGGAATTATGGGACTTGTCGTCAAGCTGATGGATCTATTAATGTTTATGGATGAGTGAATACAGTGATGTTTTTATCATGGCTGTGGTGTGAAGCGCGATTGCTGATGAGAGACAGATCTCAGCGCCACACGCGCGTCCCGCGGAGATAAAGCAATGAGGACATTTCATTCTACCGAACTAACTTACCCGCAAGTGCTGGATTACTCACACAGGTCAGGTTATTAGAAGAATGAAACTTGTGAGGTAACGCAGCGCTGCTTCACTTGGTCTACAGTATCACACTAAACTGCATTTGAGTGTTGAAAGTTATAATGTTATTCTATGTGTTCGTGTGTTGGCTGTATGAGACTAGCAGTGAGCTAGATCAACATTAGAATAACATACTGATCATATTCTAACATTTCATCATGTTAAACTATATAACATTAATTCGTTTTATGTACATTTGCTCACCTGTCTAATAAAGTACATGTAAGAGCGGCGTCTCCGTCGAGTCGAAGTTAGCCGCGGACGCTAGCTCTCGGCTTCTCAAAAACGCCACGCTGATGTTGATCCTCGTTTTAGTTCTCCTTTTGTCCCAAAGTCTGCTTGCCATGGTCCATAATGTCTGAACGAAACGACGACAGCGTGAGCGCGCCGCTAGCCGTAACGCTGTTGTCCACGTCTGTCGCCATGGTTACTACGGCAGTACGAGCGGAAACCAGGGATAACGCGGATACTACGTCACTGACACAATAAGTGAACAGAGACGAGCCATTATTTAAAATAGGAATTTCTCTGAAATTAAAAATCTTTGGGGACTTTGGGGATATTGTAAGTACACAACTGCAGGAAATATATCACTGTGCAAGTGATTTTTGGATATTTTATTACAAAATTCTTATATATTAAGTTTAAACACTTTGCAGCTGAGGGTATAAATGATTTTTCAACCCGATTTGTTTTACTAATCGGAGTCCTATACCGACTGCCCGAAGGGAGGAGATGAAACTCATGATGCATCATCTAACAATATGCTCTGGGCTTTACCCAAACCGAGATAATTAATGAAACACACCTGACCTGAGAGGACTCGAATCAGTCTGAAACCTGGAGACAAACAGCAGGGAACAGATGCGAGTATAAACTAATTAACAAATCAACTGCAAACACAATGAATGCAATGAATGATGTACATAATGTACATTACTGATAAAAAAAGAAGAAAAACCATCAAATGTGAAGTGTCAGGGAATTCTGTGAAGTTTACAGATTTTCACTGTAAAATATAAGACGATTTGACCTTTTTACTCACATTTTTTTTACATTTAACAGTGTTTTACTGTAAAATTACATTAAATGTTGTGTTAGGGTTTTCCCTGCAGTATAAACGTACAGTTTTCCCCTTATTTAGTACGGGGATTTACTGTTCACCAGTTAACAGGGTTTTACTGTCACATACTGTTTTTAGTCTTTTACAGTCACACTTTTTATTGTTTTACAGTCACACAATTTAATATGTGTTACTAACATGCAACTGTGGAGGAACCAAAGAATAAATGCATATTTATATTTAAGCCTCAGCATAATTTGTATGAGCCAGAGAAATACTTTCTATAAATCAGACAGTTTACAAATTATCTCAATCAAATATGACAGTTGAATAAGTATTCTGACAGCTTTTACTTTTTTTAAACTGACAGCATATTTCAGTGGGGCAAACTGGAAGAAAATAATGGGTAACACTTTATTTCGATTTTGAACTTTCTGTTGACTATAAGTAACTTTGCAACTACAACTAACTCTCATTAGAGTATTAATAGACTGTCTTCTTAATATCTGCTCACACTTTATTTTGATGCTCCTTCAACAGACATTACACTGACTATAAGTAACTCTGCAACTACATCAACTTATTATTCTAACCCATTTCAGTCTACTAATACTCTACGAATACTCTAATGAGAGTTAGTAGACATGTGGCTGCAACGTTACTTATAGTTAACAGAATGTGTTAAAGGGACCATCAAAATAAAGTGTTACCAGAGAGTGTCTAATATGAGGAGAACTCCCACTCTCAGTAAACGTCCGGCTCCTGAACTGGTTGCAGTTCCACTCTGGGTCCATATGAGGGCGCTCACAGGACGAGTGCAGAATGAATGGAGGTCTATGGTAGCTTGACTTCGTCATACTCAGACTCTTGTCAGAATGTGAGTCTGATACTGCCCATAGGGCTTTGATTATGAGGCGTGTCTTAACCGAACCAGAAAAAAAAAAAACTCTGCACTCAATTGGAAAGACCTACAACCAATCAGAGCAACGCAGTAAGTGACGTATGTTGAGCTACGCAAAGTTGTCAACAGAACTCAACTACACGCACGCTGGAAGAAGTAGTAAAATAATGAGTGTTGCTTCTTTTACTTGGTCCTCCATGAGTGCGACCAAAGGAGAAACCACAACGACCACAGGGTTTTCATTGCGTCCCATCTTCTTAGCGACCATCAGAGCCAGCTGATAAAATAAACTTTTGCCGAATCCCGTAGGAAGGACGGCAAACACATCTTTCCGATCGACAAATGCCTTGATTGCAGTTCTCTGTTCGTCTTTTAAAATGAATGCGCTGTCCATTTCTTTTACAACAGACGCAATAGTGGAATCTCTACATCTCAGTTCTCCAGCTGCAGTCATCTCTGAGGGAAACCAGTTCAACCCAAGCGCTCTTTGATAACGTGATGATTACGTCCCTGCAGATCATCTGTCCATCATCGTATAAAGCCCGCCCTGGCAATTTGATTGGCCCGACGATTTCTGAACCGATCATAATTATTTCTCAATGGATCGAGTCCAGACCGAACTTCCCGACTAAAAAATGTTGAATGTTGTATTCGAAACGAGATGCAAAGAAATTACACAATGTTGGGTGTTAGATTCACTTATTTGCTTTAAAAAGTCTTTTAAAATGTCAATGACGTCATACACATCGTACGACCAGAGATAATGCTTTACGGCAATCCTTCAGTCACTTTGGTGGGTTTGCGCTCTGCACTTTCTCTTCTCTCGAGTCAGCCGTCATAGGTAAACACACGTGCTAGAAGAGTTTTGTAAAACTAAAGTTCTTAACCTTCGGGTCCGGATGCCACAATGCCATCTCTGGTCGTAATCAGTCCTTCACTGACCAAACAGCGTTCATTAGCAGAATGCTAGCGTGTTATGGGCAACAACAACTCAATCTGTAAGAAATGGAAAGGACATAAGTACTCGTTCATTCAACTTTTGACCTATAATCCATGTTGAACTTGCAAAACCTACAATAAAATCTGAGATTTCTCGACGGCAATCGGGTGAAAGAAAAAAAGAAAAGAAAAAAAAGCATTGAAAATACATTTTGGTCCAAAAATAACCAAAACTAGGTGTGTAATATTTGGTGTTTGACTGGTTAAGGATGAGTGCTACCAGAATGGTGTGTCGATTAGAACACAGGAATGAGTCCAGAAGTTACTTCTCAATTGATTTATTGCCATTTGCTTTCTTTCTTGGTTCTCCGATTTCCTTAATATGGCTTTACAATTGCTGCATATTGCTGTTGTATTTGCTGTCATAGACGCAACAAACACATGCAGCAAGCTGAGGAGCAAACAGTCAGCACAAAGAGAGACACACTAGTGAGGTTGATTAGTAAGGTAATTATCCTCAGGTGAAGGAAGTTCCAGGAAGT